CAAAACACAGCATGGCATTGTTGAACAACTCAGTGGGTCTTCTTTTATAGCATCCAGGATTGCATTCTTCCAGGTACTGCTCCGTGCCTCAGTCATATGAGCATGGAGCCACCTACTTACAGAAAACGTTACATCTCTGTTTAATGGGTGCACGAGAAACAATGAAATGAGTTGGTGCATCAGCTCCTGGTGTTCAGTTCTATTCTTTTTTTTGCAGGAGATGGGCTCAAGTTGTAAAAGGTTTAAGTGTGCAGTTCTTTTCTGGTCTGTTCTCGAGTCTGGAGGGGAGCGGATACTTTGGTACAAAGAGGATAGATCTGAGCTTGCGATTTAAGTTTGTAGCACCCAGTTCTGAAATTTGGGTTAAGAACTAGATCCAAGAGCAAGCTTAGCCTGTGGACTCAAAGCCCTGGGAGCTGATCAGATTTGGCTGGTTGGCCCCTGCTCAGGAAGTGCATTCTGTTTTGGACAAGTTCCCAGCTCTCCTATGGTACAGAGTTAGAGGGTGGTTCTTTCTGATTTGATAATCCATATCAACCTAACTCATATGCAAACCCTGATGAGGAGATTAGGGCTCCTGTGTATTTACATAGAATAAACCAATGATTCAGACTAACACCCTGTCCTAGAGGGGAGACAGGTAAGGAAGAGATGTGAGCCAAAGGGAGCAAGTCCTAATCCTTCTGGGTTCTCCGAGGCAGGTAGCACTGTCATCTGACAACAGACATATGAGAAGACAGCATGCTTTAGAGCTCTGGCACTTGACAAAGGACAGGGAATCATTATTTCTTCTCTTAGGAGCAGATGGGACTATCCCTCTGCCATATTCCAAAGTAAGTAGGATCAAGACTGTGAGTGGAGCCATAATACAACCAGGGCTGCATCAGTTCTTCAAGACTGAAGGACATCTCAGGCCACTATCACTGCCATCTCACTGTCAGGGAAACGCGTGAGATCTGAGACATCGGGAAGCGAGGGCAAGCAGAGGACACCTTCTCAGATGAAGTGGGAAGAAGAGAGCTGCAAAAAGAAATTGGAGCCCTCAGATTTCACCCTGAGGAAACGCACAGGGAGACCCAGACCTGACTGCTTGGGCCATAGGACTCCCCAAAATGAAGCAGTCTGTTTAAGGCTCCTCTGCTTCTCGGGATGGGGCATAGCTGCAGCGAGGCTGGGACGCGACTTCCTCAGGCTGGGCAACAGCTGGTGGGTGGGGATGCCGCAGTGTCTAGCAGTGAAGGAATGCAGTCCTCTCTCCATAGATCTGGCTCTTCAGCAGCCCTGGCGACTTGCTGTGCAAAACTACAGCTTGGTCCTCTTAGATGCATTATTATCCTCTAGCCGCTTGCTGAGGGGCAGGGCTCCTACCCGCAAATTACTTGGAAGGTACCAAAATAGCACCACAAGGATGGGAACAGAGTGGCACATCCACTTCCTATTTAAGAGGTATCCCCTAGAAAAGAACTAATCCTGTGTGTCCCAAATGAATTCAGTTCAGTCCTCCTCCATTGCATTGATGTTAATGCAGAGAATCTCAAGCAGTGAAACTGTGTGAGCTGGAAGCCATGAATGAAATATTACTGGAGATATTATCTTGTGAAAATAAACTTGTTTTGACTTTTTAAAAAGTGTCTTGTTATTGCCTTGAAGTGAGCTTGGCTGGTGAATTGGGACCTATAGAGGGGTGGCCAGCATTCCTGGGTGTCCCCGGGGCACGCATTCCTGGGTGTCACGGACCAAATTCTCCGGTTGCCCAAAATCTTGATCATGCAAGGGAAGCCACAGCCAGGACACGATGAGAACGCGGGGCAGACTGGGTTGGCTGAGCAGCTGAGACCATCCGTTTTGGCTGTCAGTAGGTGCTTTCCTGGGCCAACCCGAAACCTATCACGAAGCCCTAACCTGCTTCCTCACGCTCAGTCAGCTCAAGGGCTGCAGGTTGGGCTTCTCTCTGCCTTGGATAGTCCTCGCTAAAAGCATGTCTATAACTCCGATACCAACAACAGGAGAACACAGGGACTTCCAGGCTCGACTAACCCATCGTCTTGTCTCCGATAAATCACAACTAGGGCTCAGAAACCTGCCAAGGCAATATTTACTTTTTCTAATGCTTCCTGGTATACGGGAAAGGGCAGCCTCTGCCCAGGAGGAGGGTTAGCAGGCTGTCCGAGCTTATAATTATGGGTATTTGGGACACCCAGCTAACTCACTGGCCAGGATGCCCAGGCACGTCCCAGTGGGGCAGCCGTGCTGTGGCAGCAATGCCATCACTGGCTGCAATGGCAAGGAGGGGCAGGCGCCTTCTTTTAGCAAAAAGCAGCCAGGAAACAAGAGGAAGAAAGGTGGGTCCCCGCCGGCACCCCAGGGGACGCTGCAGGACGAGAGCACTTTCAGCCCAAATACTCAGAGGGAATACCGGGCAGCTAGCCGGACCTACCAGCATCATGGCCCCAATTGCAAATCCCCCAGGAGAGCACACACGCTTGCCCCAACCCTTCCAACTCACCATGTTCAGGGGAGCTTCAGGAGCACAAAGCTAAGTGACCTCTCAACCTGCAGCAGGCATGTCCCTCTCCCTGCTGGGAAACAGGACCTGGGGTTGGGGCAGGGAACCAAGCAGGTGGGGCTAATGCAGCAGCCAAGCCTTATAAACACCACAAATTCCATGATTTTTAACCTAACTGACCACAGCTGGTGGTTAAATGCCTCCTCCTCCTCCCACCACACATGGCTATGGGGCTGCCAGGACCCAGCAGCATCTTTGCCAGGGTCTTGGCTCCTTTCCCCCCCTGGAGTTGCCCGCTGCTAGAGCATCCTTCATGCCAACCCCCCAAATGGTGTGGAAATGCTACAAAAGTCTCCCTTGAATGTTTCGTGTCCTCCCCTGCGCACCATACCATACCCTGCCCTTGCCATGCGGTCACCTTCCCTCCTTCCCTACCTCCCCCCCCCCAGTTTAGGATTAAACCAAACCAACCCAAATGCCCGTGCTGGCAGGGCTCAGCCCCGCTGTCCTGGGGTGCAGGGGGAAGAGGAAAGGGGATTTGCTTTCTGGTTTTGAATTTTCTGTTACAAGGAACTCTGTAATAGGTCCTTGCACAACTGTGTGTCTCCAGAAGTCAAAACCTTAAGGAAAACAAAACTCAACAGTTTTTACAAGGTTCACTAGTCCTAAAATCATGATAAAATATTTAAATCCTAGAATTATTTTGATGGTCTTCTGCTAATGCTGTTAATCAGCAGCACTGTTGCTCCCAGCTCTGTGATGGCTCTCAGCAGGGTGGAGGATCCAGCATTGCAAAAAATCAGGTGTTGACCAAATGCCCTGATTTTGCTGGGAGGAGAAATGCTTTTCTGCTCTTTTTATTGCTTATAGGGAATTAATCATAGAATCATAGAATCATTAAGGTTGGAAGAGACCTCCAAGATCATCGAGTCCAACCGTCAACCCACCACCACCATGCCCACTAAACCATGTCCCTAAGCACCTCATCTACACATCTTTTAAATACTTCCAGGGATGGTGACTCCACCACTTCCCTGGGCAGCCTGTTCCAATGTTTAACTACTCTTTCAGTAAAGAAATTTTTCCTCACATCCAATCTAAACCTCCCCTGGCGCAACTTGAGGCCGTTTCCTCTCGTCCTATCGCTTGTTCCTTGGGAGAAGAGACCGACCCCCACCTCGCTACAACCTCCTTTCAGGTAGTTGTAGAGAGCAATGAGGTCTCCCCTCAGCCTCCTTTTCTCCAGGCTAAACAACCCCAGCTCCCTCAGCCGCTCCTCATCAGACTTGTTCTCCAAATGCTACAGTCTCCTTCACCCAGATGCAAAAACAGTCACCATCCTGAAATGGTCTCCCAGCTCCATCCCTGCCTGAACCCTCACCCCTTACAACAGGCGAACAGCAGCCGCTCCGGCTGTATTTCATAGAATCATAGAATCATTTCTATCATCTGTCCCTAACCCAAGGCTGGATTTTTTTTCCCCGAAAGCAGCTCAGCAGCAGGAGCTCAGCCTGCAACGAGAGCGTGCAGCAGCCACAGCACCTGGGCAGGAGGTTATTTTTAATCTGAATCTTAACTACATCTGATGCTTGTGATTAAATAAAGCACTAAACTCTCTGCGGGCTTCTGCGTAGCGAGTTCAGAGCTGCCCAGTTCTCTGCGGTGTCTCTCCCACTGCCATCTGCCGGTCACTGTTTAGCAGGGCTAGTGGTGACCGTGACCTAAAAAAACCCCGCAGGCAGCTGGTTTCCTGTAAGAGAGCTGGTGCTGCTGGGCTCCTGCAGCAGGATTTTGGGGAGAAGGGAAAGGCAGAGCCGCAGGGCAGCCTCGCCAGGCAAAGCAGGGGCAGAAGGATGGGGAAAAGCAAAAAGCAAAGGTCTGATCCCAGCGTCGCTCCTGTGCTGCAAGCTGACGCCTCGCAAGGCCCTTTCCCCGCGTGCTGCTCGCAGCTGGGTGATGTTCTGCAGCAAAAATGCTGCAGCAACACAGGATCTGGGGACACACACTTGCATTTAACTTCTTTCTTTGCTGCAAAGATGAAAAAGTGTGTGTTTGGGGGTGGGAAGGGGCTGGCTGCCGGGCCTCTCAAAACAGGGAACCAGAAGCACTCCAGCCCCAGTTTTGATCTCTTTTTTTTTTTCCTCCAAGCTCTCTTCCTCTTGCTTTCCTTGCCCAAAAATTCCTGGTGGGGACACATTTTTGCTTTGCACTCAGCTGGGCGCTCAGGGAATATTCCCTGCGTCATCCTCAATCTCCTCCCCCCTTCTGCTGCTTTTACACAGGCTTAAAAACATTAAGTTGCAACCTTGCAAAAACCGGCACCCAGATGCTTTTGGAAAGGCAAAAAAACCCTTTCAGCACCCCCCAGGAGCCACGTTGTCTTCTAGCAATTCTACGTAAGCACACAATCAAGAGCATTTTACAGATATAATAAGCAGGCCCCCAGCCTCCAGATCCCCCAGCGAGACACTGCACGCCCCGCAACAGACTTTCACAACAGGATTTATTCAGTGCGTGCTCTGGGGATGCACGGGACACAGCATCATGGGGGAGGACACGAATATTGGCCTTCAGGTCATTCTCCACCTCATCTGTTTAAGAAATCGAGGGACGCACCAACCAGAGAAGGGACTGTATCTCCTAGTCCCTTCCACCGGTCTGCAAAGCTTGTCACATATTTAACACACCTTACTGGGAATCCTCAGGTGAAGGGAGCAGAGACATGGGGGAATAAAACACACAGCATCCCAGACAACGAAAGCGGTCCTCCAACGAGTCCTGGAACCACTGGTAACCTCTAATATAATTCACTTGGCTCTCTTGAGCTCAAATTGTACCAGCACACGTGATGACTTGTTTCTCCTGGACCAGGTTCCACCACACGCAAAATATATGTCAACCGGGATCTGTATCTAAATTCAAATACACTTAAGTTATGCAAAGAAGGAAGCCATGCAGAAGAAAGCTGTATGAAGGAGCCGGTAACTCCTCTTTAGTGCTGAAGGTTTTTCTTCTATGCATGCACACAGGTGCAGGCACACGCGTAAAATAAAGTCATGGCAATGGACTAACTGCGGACTGGGTACATGCGGTAGAGAGCAGAAGAGAGGAAGGAGGCAAGGGTTGCAGAGGTGTGAGGAGGAGAAAGGAGTACATCTGGGTAGTACCGGCCATAGCTACACCAGAACCAGGAAGGAAATAGAAATCCTCTCCCGTGGGGGGAAAAAAAATAGCGCCACTCTTTTTGGACAAGAAGGAAAGAGAAGAAGCTTCTCCAAAATTGAGACAAACAGACACATCAGGAGGGGAAAAGAGCATTTTTGTTGGAAACTCATCCTGACAAACACCAAACGCAACCACCATGTCTCATCTACAGACAAACACCAAAACCAATGATCACGTCTCATCGCCACTCCAAATCATTCTGCTTTCCCTGGGGACACGGTATGGTGGGGCCTGCCAGCCACACAGGTGGTTGGGATAGCTCATCATTTCCAGTTTGAAAACAGACCAGAAGCCCAGGCTGGCTGGGAAGAAGGGAGAAGCATCCAAGGTCACCAGCATTATGGCAGACACCCTCCTGCCCTTGGGTCTCCTCAGGAAGGGGACCAAGTTCCCATGGGACTGCCAGCTGCCCTTGGCTCGTCGAGGCTGGAGCAGATAAGGCAGCGTAAGAAGAGAGCGTGTCAACTTGAATTGTCCATGGTGTCTCCCAAGCCTACCAGGGTTGTGGAACAACCAATGCTGAAGAAAGCCTTGGTGACTGGTGCAGAGACAGCTGAGAAAGACCATTCAAAGTAGAAGGCCCACCAGGATGACACTGGGTAGGAGGAAGAGTGAAAGCCCCAAGCAGGTACTGGGGGCTCCAGCCGTGGACTGATCCATGCTTGTCTGGTCTGAGCTTGTCTCCAGTTCTTCAGCGTCCAGGGCACCTGCTGGCAGAAGAGAAGAAAACGTGGAGTTAGAGGCGAAGATCTGGACAAAAGAGAAACTCCCGCTCATGCAGGTCCATCAGTGACGTGCACCAAGACACCGCGAGGTAGCAGTGCACCGATCCAGCGAAGGCGTGACACAGCTGGTGGGTTAGTGGGGAGCAGGCTGTAAACAAAACCATGCTTCACGAACGAGACATCCAACCAGCCCCTTTCAGTGTTAGAGGAAAGTGAGGAAAAGGGTTGGTGCCACATATGAGAAGAGGATCCAGAGGACCAGTCCGATACTGGTTCCTCCCAAGCGCTCTCCATGCTGCTTGGGGATCACTGGATGTCTGAGTGTCCATGCTAGGACAGACTCCACAATTACCTTACCTGAGAGGGAGGTCTGGAAAGCAGGGCTCTGCCCTTTTTTTTCTCTGGAAGATGATGTTAAGCGCAAGAAGGTGGGCTCTTCAGGGCTGAAGACCACTGGCTTTGAGGGGGTTATGAGCTCAGCTTTATTGAAACCTAACTTGATCTCTGGAACAATCTGGCTGAGGGATGGAGGTGGACTGGAAAAGGTGGATTTCCCTTTCCCATCCTCTTTGACCCCTTTATTTGTTTCTGGGACTGATTTGGGGTTGAAGGCTGTGTCCATGCTTTCTAATAAGGCCGGATCCTCTGTAGTTAAGGGACTAATAGGCTCTCCAGTGTCTACCTCTATTTCTGGAGATACTTCATAATCCAGGTCTAACGTGGGCTCAAAGGAAAGAGTTAGCCCAGTTGCCTCAGTAGGATTGGGTCTTTCTGTTTCAGTGGGTTCTGGGTTTGTGGTTGTGGCAGTTTTTGGTTGTGTCTTTGCTGTTGTGGTAGGTGCTGGTGTTGTAGTGGTGAGTTTTGGCTTTGCTGATGTTGTAGCGGCAGGTGTTGGCTTGGCTGTAGTGGTAGATGTTGGTGTGGTGGGTGTTGGCTTGGCTGTAGCTGTGGCAGGCTTTGGCTTAGCCAGAGTTGTGGTAGGTTTTGGTGTGGTGGGTGCTGGCTTGGCTGTAGTGGTTGGGAGCGTGGTGGCAGGTTTTGGCTTGGCTGTCGTGATGGGTGCTAGTGTTGCAGGTTTTGGCTTGGCTGTCGTGATGGGTGCTAGTGTTGCAGGTTTTGGCTTGGCTGTCGTGATGGGTGCTAGTGTTGCAGGTTTTGGCTTGGCTGTCGTGATGGGTGCTAGTGTTGCAGGTTTTGGCTTGGCTGTCGTGATGGGTGCTAGTGTTGCAGGTTTTGGCTTGGCTGTCGTGATGGGTGCTAGTGTTGCAGGTTTTGGCTTGGCTGTGTTTGTGGTTGGGAGCGTGGTTGTGGTTGGTGGTTTGGCTGTGGTGGTTGGGAGCATGGTGGCGGGTGGTGGCTTGGCTGTGGTGGGCACTGGTGTTGCGGGTTCTGGTTTGGCTGTGGTTGTGGTGGGTACTGGTGTTGCGGGTTCTGGTTTGGCTGTGATTGTGGTGGGCACTGGTGTTGCGGGTTCTGGTTTGGCTGTGGTTGTGGTGGGTGTTGGCTTGGCCGTAGTGGTGGTGGTTGCAGTGGGGGTTGGCTTGGCTGTAACGGTGGTTGTGGTGGTTGTTAGCATGGTGGGCTTTGGCTTGGCAGTAGTGGTGGGGGGTGCTGGCTTGGCTGTAGCGGTTGTTGTGGTGGGTTTTGGTGTTGTGGGTGTTGGTTTGGCTGGGGTTGTCATTGGGAGCGTGGTGGCAGGTTTTGGCTTGGCTGTCGTGATGGGTGCTAGTGTTGCAGGTTTTGGCTTGGCTGTTGTTGGGAGCGTGGCTGTGGGTGGGGGCTTGGCTGTAGTGGTTGGGAGCGTGGTGGCAGGGTTTGGCTTGGCTGTAGCGGTGGTTGTGGTGGGTACTGGTGTTGCGGGTTCTGGTTTGGCTGTGATTGTGGTGGGCACTGGTGTTGCGGGTTCTGGTTTGGCTGTGGTGGTGGATTGTGGCCTGGCTGTGGTTGGAAGTGTGGTTTTGGGTGGTGGCTTGGCTGTGGGTGGGGGCTTGGCTGTAGTGGTTGGGAGCGTGGTGGCAGGTTTTGGCTTGGCTGTTGTTGGGAGCGTGGCTGTGGGTGGGGGCTTGGCTGTAGTGGTAGATGTTGGTGTGGGGGGTGCTGGCTTGGCTGTAGTGGTGGTTGCAGTGGGGGTTGGCTTGGCTGTAGCGGTTGTTGTGGTGGGTTTTGGTGCGGTGTGGTTTGGCTTGGCTGTAGCGGTGGTTGTGGTGGGTACTGGTGTTGCGGGTTCTGGTTTGGCTGTGGTGGTTGGGAGCATGGTGGCGGGTGGTGGCTTGGCTGTGGGTGGGGGCTTGGCTGTAGTGGTTGGGAGCGTGGTGGCAGGGTTTGGCTTGGCTGTAGTGGTTGGGGGCGGGGTTTTGGGTGGTGGCTTGGCTGTAGTGGTTGGGAGCGTGGTTGTGGTTGATGGTTTGGCTGTGGTGGTTGGGAGCATGGTGGCGGGTGGTGGCTTGGCTGTGGTGGGCACTGGTGTTGCGGGTTCTGGTTTGGCTGTGGTGGTTGGGAGCATGGTGGCGGGTGGTGGCTTGGCTGTGGGTGGGGGCTTGGCTGTAGTGGTTGGGAGCGTGGTTGTGGTTGGTGGTTTGGCTGTGGTTGTGGTGGGTACTGGTGTTGCGGGTTCTGGTTTGGCTGTGATTGTGGTGGGCACTGGTGTTGCGGGTTCTGGTTTGGCTGTGGTTGTGGGTTTTGGTGTGGCTGTGGTTGGGGTGGATGGGCTTGCCTTTGTTGTCACAGGGGCTGGAGTGGTCTCTTCTACAGTGGGTTCTGGTAAGAGACGAAAAGTGCCGTGGGTTAGGGCTGGGGTCAGCTGACCTCAACAGATCCTCTGCACTGAGCAGGGCCAGCAGAAATCAGCTGGGGGGTGAAGCAGCAGCCGATCCCTCCCAGGTCACTCTGGGCCATCCCCCACACTCTGGGATTCCCAACCTGGAGACATCTCATCTCCCTCACACAACCTCCTGCCCCTTGGGATCAGGGCGTCCTCATGGGACAACAATTGCTGGCTAAGGGGGTACGAGGTCCTTGTCTGATCCTCCTCATCCTGAGGCAGCTGACCTGTCTTAGGGGCTGCCATCGCACCCGATGTCTCATGATCCAGCCCTGGAACTGCTGGTCCAGGGCTTCCTGCTAGCTCCAGGGGGGTTCAGAGCTTGGACCCCAATCCAGGGGTCCGAGTCCCAGCAGCCTGTCAAGGGACACGTGCCACTTCGCTTCACTTACCACACAAGGAGTTGACACAGACTCTACCCTCGGGACATTGCGAGCATGAGGGTCCTTCCTTGTACGGCTTTCGGCCTTTCATATTACCCCTGGAAGCAGAAGACGCCAAGAAAAAGAAGGCGTGAGGAGAGGGGGAAACACCCATCCCAAAGAGGGGGTCTGATTCAACTGGAATATCCCAGCCAAGGCAAAACTCAGGATTAATGTAAAAAACAGGTCTTGGTCTCCTGCCACAGACTGTCAGTGCTGTTTACTCAACAGCCTGACCCCAAGGCTGCTAAAACCAGGGGAGACAGCTCCATGGACCAGATCCTTCCCCACTCCTTAGAATAGAGCAGTCGTTGGGCATCTGGACATGTGGTTTTGTCTCCCTTCTGCTCAAGACCCCTAAGAAGGTCAGCAGCAACCGGCCGCTCTTGTTGGTCTCACCAGCTCCAAGCAAGTGGTCCCCAAGGCTAGTCCCAGGGCTTTGCAAGCAGCCACCCACCTCTCCTCCCATGTCCGACCCTTCCTGCTGGTGCAAACGTGCCTCTCCACCCCAGGCGACCGCTGCTGCCGACGGGGAAGAACAAGACACAGAGCAGGGAGCTGCCGGCTGTACCCTCAGCTACTGCAGCATCAGCCTTGGGCAGCTCTCGGCGGGGATCCCCCTCCTCAGGTCTGTGCCAGGAGCTGAACCAGACCTCAGCAGTCGCAATCATGGGCAAGGATCACCACACAACCCTTCCTTCCTTTGTGACCAACCCAAGATAACAAAGGCCTTTCTTGGAATTGCTTCGCTTTTCTTTCTGAACAAGGCCAAATCCTGCTCTGCTATAGGGACTGAAGGAAGGACGTTTCCAGCACAGAAACCCCGTCAAGATGCACCAAGCCACGCGAGGCATGGGACTTACGGGGGATAATAGTTGCAAACAAGCAGGTACATGTCTTCTGTTTCAATTCCATCGATCGTCTCACAAAACTTGGCCCCACAGCCGATCCGATGCGTGCTTGCCCAGACCACCTAAGGCAAAGACCAGGGGTGAAGGTGAGGTGACTGGAGGAAGGCGGACACCCTGTTGGCAATCTGTCCCCTGGCCTTGAAGGCTGCTCTGTCACCACACCAACGTCCCCCTCATCTCAGTGTGTGCCCCAGATCCCACATCCCCACGTTGCTTTAGCATTCAGGATCCTGCCCCTCGCCCCTGTCTGGATCACCTTCCCACGAGGGCTGCGGTCCGCACATCCAAGTGCCACAGCTTTCCTACCATATAGTCTACCCAGGTAGAGCATCACCATCTCTGCTTTGGTCCTGGAACCCTCCATGCATCCATCCTCATATTTACCACCACCATCTCTGCTCCTCCTTGCTCCCACCCTAGCTGTGAAGAAACACTGAGACCTCATATCTCTGCCTAAGACAAGCTGGCACCCAGTTCTGCCGAGTAGCCAAAGAGGGCTGCAGAGCTTGTTTAAAAGAGGTCTTCTCTAAAAAGGCCGGTCGTGGCTGGCACCATGCCCAAGTCCCCCTGTATCGTTGTGATTCCTGCCTCGTTCCCCATCCCTTTGCAAAGACTCTGGGAGGAGCTGGGGCTCTGGTACAGCTCCTTTCCCGACAACCCCATCCGTCTGCCCCACCAGCTTGGTACCTGGGTGTAGTGGCCGCACATCTGCCCGGGGACACACGTGGAAGTCGTCAGATTGTAGTATTTCTCCTCCCCGTTCCAGTCTTCCACAGCGAATTCCAGGTCCAGGGTTGGGGCCATAGCAAAGAGGTTTTCCCCCCGTCGTCCCCTCTCCTTGTTGTGGTCCCAGATGCACTTCTCTGCATAGGCTTGAGCAAAGGCCTCCAGCTCCGTGTCCCAGCTCTGAAAGGAGCTCGGCATCAGCATACGGAGAGGGACACTGGGCTCTCCGACATACACAAGGACCGCTGGGCTCTCTGGCCACAATTTCCCCATTCATGAGTAAAATTCAAATCCCTACCCAACACAGTCCTCAGGAGAGGGGAGCTCCACAGCCAGTCCCAGCACAAACTTAGCTTACAGGTCAAACAGGAGGTGAGTGCATCAGCACAACTCTCACAACGTTGCCCGGAGCATCTCTATCATCATCGTGGAGCATCCTCAACTCAGCGTGGAGAAACCGTGAAGTCGGATGAAAGAAGGCAGGAAACTCACCCTGGGTCACACAGGAGGGGGCCTGGGGACATCCCTCTTTGACCAGGGTGGGGATGGGAGGAGATCGGGACACATCTTCCCCAGGAGCTGCACAGAGCCTGGGAGCACGCGCTCCTGGGAAACATCATCTGTTCGCCTGGATCCGAGACGTGGCCGGCCGGCTGCCTGCCAAGAGCCCCCTCCGGAGCGGCAGGGGGGCCGGCGGCCCACCGGCCCGCAGTCCCCCGCTGGCAGAGTTGATATGCAGGAGGAGGAGGAGGAGGAGGAGGAGGAGAGGTTTTCTCACAGGGAGGCATACGGGGAACCCTACGCTGCAGCTGTTTGGACCGTCCTTGCACCATTTGATGGAGACAGCAGCTTTGCTTCTGCAGTGAGCTGGAAGGCAGCCCAGCAACCGGCAGATCCTAAGAGGGGGACCTTCCCGGCCAGAGCCAGGGCTGGATCCAGAGGGGGACAGGGCATGGCCCCGATGCAGAGCACGTCACCATCAGGGTGTTGAGGGGATGTGGACGGGCCCTTGAGCAGCAGCGCTAAGGGACTCGGGGGGGAAGGAAACACCAAAGTATCTGGATGGGGGCACAGAGTGTTGGTTGACCTCCCACCACGGCCCCAAGCCAGGCTGAGTGATGGCTGGAAACCCAGTTTGAGGAGTGCACGCCCCTCTCCCTCTGGCACGGAGCTGGGCTCCATAAACAGGGGACTCACACCTGCAGGATTTGCCTCATTAAAAAAGAAAAGTGGCTTTAGGCTATGTATCCCCCTCATCGCCTAACTATTTCCACAACAACCAGATCCATGTCCCAAACAGAAGCGCGGGCTCACCTCAGCCAGGCACGGTGCCACGGCAGCAGGTGAACTCGGAGGCGAGGACAGCCCAAGCAAACGTCCTGGGAGGGAGGCAAGGACGGCACCCTCACGGAGAACCTCTGCTGCTGTAAGCTAGACATTTGTTGTGCTTCCAAAAAAAAAAAAGCCTTTGGCTCTGGACCGCGAGCGGGTCCTGTATGTTTAAGCAGAAGCAGAGCAACGCTGCGGACTGGAGCATCTCAAAGCACGCGATCTGCAATCAAAGCTTCAGCCAGGAGCAGCAGTCACTAGTTCAGAATTGCTGCTGGCTTAAGGACCCTGAGAGATTTTTTCCCTCAGGCGTTCTCTGAGGCTTTGGTTCCAAAACCCTTATTCTCCAAGTTTTCTGTGCCTTGCTCTGGCGGTTGTCCGTGGGATCGTGGTGCTTAGGGTCCTCGCTCTGTCCCCTTTGAGTCTGAAGTCACTAGTCAGACCCCCTGTACCTGAACAGAGCTTTTTCCTTCATTTGCTCAGCAAGCTCCCATTTACCAGCCCACAAAGGTTTAATTCAGCCTGTGCAACTTTTGGGCCAGGCAGGGAGGTCTCCTCCAAGCACTCGGTGACCGAAAGAGCAAAGCACTCCAACTATCCATGAGAAACGCTTGTCCTCCTCCTCCACGCGTGTTGCAAACAGTGAGGAAAATCACACGTGGTGCAAGATAAGACATGATAGCCGAATTTTAATCAAATCAAGGGTCCGAAAAAGACAAAAAGCAGCACTAGCTCGAGAGCTCATTTTTGCTGCCACTGCAGCCAGAAGTGATGGCGGGCACCTGACTCAGTTTCCCCAAGCAAAATGGGAGATCCCTCACCTCCAAGACAGCCATGCACAAGTCATGGTGGGGATTAGGAGAGTGATGGAAAGCCCAAATAACTGAATGACCTGGTTGTCACGTTTGAAGTTGATGTTCCCTCCTATAGCTAGAAGCCCATTCACCTGCAAAGGCGAATAAAACGCCCCAGGCGATGCCCCACGCAGCAGGATTCCCCCTCCAGCCTGGGGCACCTGCTCACGGCAATGTCTCACCTGCCTTTCCTCCCCATCACAAGGAGCTCCAGCTGGCACACACGCGAGTGAGAGCTGCATCGCCCTCACACAGCGCATCAGGGCACCCGGGTCACACTTAGGAACTTCCACAAACAATCAAAGACAACTCTGCAGGTGAAAGCGAACTCATCTCTTTAGAGGCAGTTTAGGGAACCGCTTCATTGCTACCTAGTTGTAGCCCTACAAAAGAATTGCTCTGCCTCCCCTAAGAACACCCTGATCCCTCCTAGCACTAAGATCGAGGCTTGCACTACACAAACACCCTCTGACATTCCCCTGCAATAAAAGCCACTTACCATCTTCAGCATATCCGTAGCAGGAGGAGAGACCTGCGAGCGGTATTTATTATGCCCATCCAAGATTATCTTCTTTTCTTCATCACTCAGGGACCAGCTCAGCTCCAGCGCTGTGAGCAACAGGAAAACAGGAGGAAGACCTGAGCTCAGCATCGTGCAGCCAGCTTCTGCTCTTAGCAGCCCACGGCTCTGGCAGTCGGATTTAAAGCACCTCCCAAAAGCAAGGAACACCCAACAGCTTGAAGATTGGGGAGGAAATGTATTTCTTTATTAGAGCACTTTCGGAGCCACACGGTACACACCCATCTCACATACTGGCCTTGATGGAGAAGCAGCAGCGCGGCTGGTGCCGAGGGCGCAGGGTCCGCTCCCCGAGACAGACCCTGTGCCTGAATCACAATCCCTGGATTGGCATTTTTCATCCAAACCTCTGCTGCTCCAAACCTCAGACGTCCCCTTAGCCCTCAGTTACGGGTCCTCTCTTCTACCTCCTGTCCCTTTTCTCCTCAACTGTAATAATAATCCCTAAGCAACCAGCAAAGCCCTGTTTTACCCAAGGGTCCTCCCCTGTCCCTGGAATGCAGCTGCGTCTAGAAACGAAGGCAACAAGATGCAACTGCTGAGAACGGTTTGCAGCATAGTAACTCCCCAGCTGGGAGTCAGAGCCCACCCTGTCCAGGCCCCTGTCTGCGCACCGGCCGTGTTGGGGGGAGAGCAGTGGGCAGCTGAGGCACGGCCCCCCCGGGGCTCCCCCAGCCTGCTGGGAAGGTGGGGGTAAGCAGAGGGTCGATGCCCCTTCCCTGTGCCATCTGGAGAAGGGTGAGCAGGAGAGGAAGAACAGGATATAGAGCGGAAATTGCCCCCAAAAAAGGGGAGCTGAGAGCCCATAGCTGCCCTCAGGGCTGGCTGGAATCTGCAGGGGCAGGCTGTGCTCCCTCCCCAGGCAGACACCTGGAGGGCTCGACATCAGGTGTCCCGAGTCGCCCCGCCATGGAGACTGTCTGGCAGAGACCCTCCAGCCTGCCTGCAGCCTCTTCCTCCCCATCTGCGATTGTGCAACCGCCCCGGCTCTGCTCCAGGAGCTGCCTTTGGGGACCGCAGGCTATTAGAAAGGATCAGCGGGTGGGCAGCTCTGGCTAGCAGAGCCAAGTTAATCACACGCTGTCGGCTCTGCCTCCCCCTCTCCCCTCCCAGCTCCCCAGGCAACGCTTTGCCATTTTTGCTTTTGCTTTGGACCACGCTGATCACCTCTCTTGCCACAACAGCTCTCCTACTGCTCCCCAAACCTCTTACCTCTGCATATTACCTTCACCTTCGTTAGGTCCAGTGTCTACCATACTCTCAATAGCCCAACAATTTCTGCAAGCAGGGTCTGAGGCTAACATCTCAACAGGCTACCTTCAACTCATCTGGTCAAACCAAAGGTTCCCATTTATTGCTAAGGCGAACTGCAGGCCTGGAATCTGGGTCAAGGCAAACCTGTCTCCGTCATGAGACACCTCAAAAGCTCTGCTGCCGCATCTCCAGAGACCTGGAGAAACATCTAGAAAGGATCAACACCGGCTCCAACTCCTGCCGGCCAGCTCGCCATGAGGCTTATGAGGAACGAGGCAGTGCTGAGAAGACCCCAACGCACGTTCTGCTCTCTGCAAACGCGCTGCGGAGATGAAGGGCCAAGCTCCACATAGCCCCTGGCACTACAGCATCCCGACTAAGCCTCGCAGGAGATAGCGCAGCAACAAGGATTAAGGAAAATGGGACGCACCGTGCTCGTGGGGAAGAGAAAACAGCCCTGGAGGAGTCACAACCGGCGCACGTGGCTCATGGGGAAATGTGAGTAACAGCCGATGCACTCGGCAAGGTCAGGCGCGGCTGCTGGCAAAGGGGGTGCAGGGCCATTTCTCAACTCCCCAACCTGCCCCGCTGGCTCTTTCCGGAGCCAACGTCTGAAGCATCGAGATTAACAGCACGAGGTCCAAGCCCCACCCTGGAGCTGACAAGCTCGTGTCCAGCCGGCATTAGGTAAGCGCATGAGGAATGCGGCTTTGCTTCTGCTCACTCAAGGAACAGCCCGTCCACCGCAGCCCCGGGGAGCCAGCAGCCTCGGCCCAGGCGACAGGAGCCGCACGCCGACACCTGACGGGGTGTGCAGGGTCTGGCTCAAGGCCAGCGGGCTCCAGCTAGGCACAGCTCCGCACTGCGGAGGAAACAAAGCCTGGTTTTCTACTGACTCGGCGTCTCGAGGGTCTTCAGCGTGGCTTCTCTGGTGCCGAACGAGGCTAACGCATTGTCCTGGTAGTAGCGGCATCTTTCTCTCCTCTACTTGCCTGTTTTTATGAACTCTGGAGGGGCTTATCATCTTCTACCCCTCAAGGTTTGGCTGAAATAAACTCAATTGTGAAGGAAGGAACAGAGGTTGTTATTAGGAAGAAAGGAGGGACAGGCAGAGCTGTCCCATCGACTTTGTTTAGGGAACCAGGCTAAAACTGACAAAACACTTTCCAAAGTGTTTCTTTTGACACTTTCCAAACAAAAGCGTTCTGCCTTTCCACTTAAAATGACACTTCCACTTAGAACCAGTGCCCTAAAAAGGGTTAAATAACCCCTCAGTGGCAGACATGCAACATGAAAAGAGGGAAAAAAAATCAGCAAAGGGGAAAAGGTGCATTAACGCTCGTATTTAATTGCAAAAAGTAAAAACTTTTTTTATTCTCCTTACATACAAATCTCATTTATTTACACACTTTACAGGCTTTTTCCAAGTATTTACAAAGTTTGCAATATATTAAATTACGACCATCCATAAAATTCTGCATTAAGTGCATATTTACATTCTTATCCGCCACTGAATTTATAGTGTTCAGCATTGAAACAGTCTTTATGCATATATAGCTTTACTTCCCAGCGCCCCTGAGCCTTTATAACATGCCTCCCCTTCCCCACAGACAGCGAGATAATGCTAAAAATAAATCACCTGTCATTTGTTTGAATCTCCAAAGCAAAGGGGAAGTCCAGCATCTCCCTTGTTTAACTCAGCAGGACAGTAAATCTATCCTTTACAAGAAGGAGTTTCCTGAAGAGGAGAATATATAGTTCTACATATAAAATTTATGAAGAGGAGAAAGTTTGGTTTGCAGGAAGCAAGAGCTCTTTGTGCACCCACGGCAAGGCCCACCAAAAGGGCCTCACCCCAGAAAGCGCTCGGTTCTCTCTCGGGGGCCACGGGGCTAAACGTGGACCACGGAGCCTGGGATTGGGCGGATCCTGCAAACTTCACTCCCCGGAGCAGCGTCACGGATGTGATAAAGGCAGGATCACCTTTCTGAGATGCTGGAGTTTGTAGAGCTTGCATCTGTAGTAACGAGATGCTCTCCTGCTCCCCACCTCCTCTCGCTCGGGGTGTTCCCACGCCGCCAGCGGGACTTGCTGCGGAAGGGCGTGCAAGGCTTGCTGCTAGAAAGCTGGGGAGGCCAGCCACCAGAGAAGGGAGGTGCTTTGATCCAGCCCAGTAAAACCAGCTTCTCTGCCAGACCATTACAGCAAGAGGACTAGCGGGAAAAGCTAAAGGCCCGAGACTCCCAGGAAACCCGACCCTAGAAAGGGAATTTGTGTGTGCAATGCCAGTGGGGAGTTGAAAGAAAAAAGAAAAAAAAAAAAATCCATAGAAACTGGCAGCTTGGCTCCCGTAGGGGATGCTGATTTCCTGGTACTGAAGTAATGCTACTCCTTTCTCCTCCTTTCAGTTACCCTGAGTTCAGGACTGACCGAGAGCAACGGTCAATGACCCCTGCTTTTGGAAACCAGCTTTAAACCACAATCCTCCTGCCCAGCTGACGGGTGACAGCCCATCTTTCTAGCCTGACAAGCGGAGAAATGACCACTCCGCATCTCTGCCCACCGGGTTCTCGGGTAGCACGGATTCCTGCGCCTCCCTGGTGTGATTTCAGAGCAGCTTTGCAGCCTCCGGGACGTCGGGTGAGCAGGAGTCCATCTCCCAGCTTGCAGGCAAAGAGCTCTAAAGCACGCAAATAGTTTTGGACAAAAACCGGGAGGCATGCGTTGACTGGGCACCCCTCTGAGCTGGCCAGGGTGGGGAGCAGGGGATTGTCCAAACCAGCACATACGCTTGGATACCCGCAAGTGCCAAAGTGAAGCTAGAGGCGAGGGAGACCACGATGGGACGCACACCCTCTGTGACTCGTCCGATCGCGTCTGTCACCGCGATGCCTCAATAGCTGAGAAAATAGCCACATTCCCCCCAGTTCAGCCTCAGCAGATCACCGGGAGCCACCAGGCTCTCTAGGGAAGTTACAGCCTCCTGCAGCCTTTGGAAAGACTCTGTGAAGCCGGAGCCCCGGATGAGGACGATGACCAGGGCTCACTTGCAGCCATTGGGCCAAGGTGTCAACATCTCCTTTTGGCCATCCTACTTTTGCCACTTTGGCCTCAGCTCCGAGTTTTCCATCCCGGCTCCTCGCCTGTGTTGCGATGCGGAAGGCGTTAGCACTACTTCTCTGGCAGCAGAAGACAGGAGCTGCTCTAGAAGCCGTGCTACAGACTGGGGCTCTGCACTCAACAGCGGCTAGGGCCAAAAATCAGCTCTTTATCAGCAGAAGAATTGCCCTCCTGTTTTAGTTTAGCAGCTAATTCCTTACAGCTTTTGGAAGAGGAAGAGAAAATATACTGAAAGTTTAAAAACAAATGATGTAAACTCCAAAGGGAGCAAGGTTGGGACATATGCAATGTATCGCCTAGACACAGATCTGGAAACTTATGCAGAAACCATAAAGTGCACTTGGAAAGCTGATCTGCAAACAGTCCAGATTCACCATCTTCTGTCCAACCAGCTGCAGCTCTTTGCAGAGGGGAGAAGCAATAAGTGAGAGCACTTTTGCTAAATAGGCACAAACCTGCCCTAGAGCTCCCCCTTTCCCCCCAATCCAAACAGCAACCGTAAACAGATCCATTTTCTCTGCTTCTTCCCAAAGGAGCCAGACAGCCACAATGGCTTAAGTGTTACTCACAAAACACCGGCATTTCGCAGACACTTGAGAATTGCCTCTGCAGCTCTTTTACAAGTTACATTCAAGGACACTTAGAAGTAACAGCATCACCAAACCACCTGCAATCTCAGCGATAACGGGTCCAGCAGGT